CTTGTGGAACCAGCTCCCAGCTTTAGTCCGTGAGGCAGACACCTTGTCTACTTTTAAGACTAGGCTTAAAACATTTTTATTTGATAGGGCCTATGGTTAAAATCTGATTTTAGCCTAGATCTGGACAAGTGGGGGAGTAGAGGGAGGTGGAGTGTACAGTCGGTAAAGACGGCTCTCCCTTGCCCTGCCTCCAACATGCCTCCATCTAAATAGGATAGATTATCCAGAGTTATCTCTGTAGTTATGCTGCTATAGGCTTAGACTGCTGGAGGATACACTGACCACTTTCCACACTCGACTACTTTCTTCTACAATCTGCTCTTTAACTGTATTATTTCCTGCTATTTCAGCTGTTAACTTTATTTTCTCTCTAAGTGTTTTTCTCCCCAGAAGAAGCTACAATGATGTTCTGCTGAGCTGTGGTGACCTCATGGAGGGGGCCATCGGCTAGCACACTGCTGCTAACCACTTAAACATTCTCCCTCTCCTGATAATAACTTTTTACTCTCTTGGACATTGAATGTGCTACTACTAGTTTACCTGTTTAATTATAGATTCACTAGGATAAATACAATAAAGTTTATCTCTCACCAAATAGAATATTTACTAAGAAATCACAATGTAACCATAGAAACACTACTTGGTGTGTGTGTGTGTGTGTGCGCGCGTGCGTGCATGCGTGCGCGTGCGTGCATGCGCGTGCGTGCGTGTGTGCATGCGCGTGTGTGCATGCGCGTGCGTGCGTGTGTGTGTGTGTGTGTGTGTGTGTGTGTGTGTGTGTGTGTGTGTGTGTGTGTGTGTGTGTGTGTGTGTGCTCTGTCTTCTCCATCCCCAGTGAGTCGTGGTGGATGGCTGTTTATACTGAGCCAGGATCCTCTGGAGGTTTCTTCCTGTTAAAAGGGAGTTTTCCTCTCCACTGTTGCTGCATGCTTTCTTAGTATGAGGATTGCTGTAAAGACTCTGGCACTAGTCAGTGACTCGGTGCAACCTGCTGGGTTCCTTATGTAGGAAACTTTTTTCTGACTGGCTTAATAGAATGTTTACTATGAAGTATCTTCAGATGACTCTTGTCGTGATTTGGCGCTATGCAAATAAAGTTGAATTGAATTGAACTTGAATTATATATATTTTTTCCTTTCTTTTGAGTTTAGCATGTTTTGTTTTTGTGTTGTACGTGTTTTAGGGTGCAGCACTCTGAGTCGCCGTGACTGGTGACATGAAGGTGGTGTTTGAATAAATAAATGAATGTATGAAATTAACATAAACCCAGATGCTCGAAGCTCCTTTCTATGCAGAACTGCAGACATGCAAATCATCTGCAAACTTTCAGAAACCCCTTTACTTATTTAATGTGTTTATTAATTGATTCTGGCACACGTTCATTTACTGACACAGCCTGTGATTGTTGGCTCTGATGTCATTCTAATGTTGGAGGATTGCTCAAGTTTTGTCTCAGCTGACATTTGTGGAAGCAGAAATAAAGTTACTCACACCGCTGAAGATGGCAGAACAATGAAAGAATAAAAGGAATAAACCATAACACACACACAGCAGAATGTTGCTTTAAAGGAGACACACTAAGTCTGTTTTCCTTAACTTGGGATACTTCTATGTTTTACACAAAACATGTTTATGGAGCTCTCTGCACTAGATCCCTCTCACATGAAGCGTCTCAGCTGTTTTATTCTCCACACATTCAGAACCTTCCATGAGCCGTTTCTGGGCTCTGTCACTTTAAGGAATTAAGCTGGAGCTGGCCACGCCCACTCCTCTGCTACTCAGGCTGCCACAAGCTGTGGAGCTTTGATACCTAGGAGGGGCTTGAAGGAGAGTCGCTGCTGCTGAGGGAGCAGGTGAGAGGGGCTTCCGCTCTAACTTGGGAATGTCTGTTTTGGGGCTCATAATCCTCGAATCCAGACAGAGAAAACAAATGGACCGTTTATTTATTTAGTGTTTAGAGAGGCAGCAGAAACTCACATGGATGCAGGTGAGTTTTGTACAATATGTCTCCTTTAAATCGATGAAGCACCACCCACAGCTCCACAAAGATTCATCTGTATTCTTCACAGAGAAGATTAGTGTCATGGTCTGTGTCTGCGTCTCCCCTCATGTGTCTCCTGGGTTTCTCCATTTGCCCCTAGATCTCCAGCCCTCCAGGTTTCCCTCTTCTGACATCCCCCTCCCAGGTCCTGTGCTCCCTTGGCCCCCTCTTAGTCGCTCCCCTGTAGTTTTTCTTTCTGTAGTGTTTTCCTTTAGTTTTCATCTTCCCCTTAGAATATTAGTTATTGTTCATGCCCTTCTGGTCTTTTGGATTTTTCTCTTAGGTCATTTTCCTTTAGTTTGAGCCTTTCATTATTTAGGATGTTTTTCCCACCAGTGTTTATTATTGTTCTCCTCCCTTTGATTAGTAGTTCTGTTTCCTGCTCTTTTTATATTCGGTTTTATTCTTAGGTCAAGTTAGTTCCTCCCTGATTCAGTTATCAATCAAATCAATCAATCAAATTTTATTTCTAAAGCGGTTTTCAAACAAAGTGCTACTCAAAGTGCTTTACAAAATGACCCCAGATTCCCATAACAGGTTAAAAACATTAACAAACATATGCAAGCACACACACACACACAAACACACAGACTCACACACACACAAGTAACAATTATGAGCCAAGATGAGCCAAGTATGGTAACGCAAGGAAACGCCATCAGAGAAGCCGTCTGCCCCGGCAGCATCAGGTCTTCCACACTAAGTCAGGGCGCTCAGTGGAGGGGGAGCATAGACCCCCACCTATAGAGCGCCCAGGAAGCTACAGTCTACCACCGCTCCCGGGGCAGAGGGCCCCTAGAGAGGAAACACTGGATTAAAATGAGTAAAAATGTAATAAAAAAGCTAATATAAATGACAAAAATTAGAAAATAAGTAATAAATAAAATGATATAGACAGTAAAATAATAATTTAAATAATAAAACTGTGCTAAAGTATAATCATATAGAACATGCAAAGCAAGTAATAAAATATAATCGTGTAAAACGAGAAATAAAACTGTAGTAAATATTTAGATAAAAGCTAACCTAAATAGGTGGGTCTTGAGTCTTGACTTAAAAACACGAACGTTCTCTGCGGCCCTGAGGTCCTCTGGCAGCTCGTTCCAGAGGCGAGGGCCATAACACTGGAAGGACGCCTCGCCGTGAGTTTGTGTCCTGACTTTAGGGATGACCAGGAGACGCCTGCCAGAGGAGCGCAGAGGCCGCGAGGGTTCATATTGTAAAAGCAATAGTTATAGTGTTCACCTGGTCTCTCTCTCCCCACACACCTGCAATCCATCTCCCTCTCATCCTCCCAGGGTATTTAAGCCCTGTCTTGTCTCTGTGTCTTGTTGGCCATTATTGTTGTCAGCATTGTTCGTGCTCTTGTTGCGCTTTATGTCTCCTGACTTTGGTGCTCTAAGTGAGCTTTCGGTGTCCTGTGTTCCAGGACTTTTGGATTTTTGGATTTTGGGCTCGCTGCCTTGTGGATTTATTTTGTTGCATCCTGCCTATTAAAGGATTTTTGCTTTTTACCAACTCCTGCCTCTTGTCATCTGGGTGATCTGCATTTTGGGTCCTAACCTTTCCCACAATGTGAAAATTAGAGGAACCAACCTGGTTTGGGGGGCTCACGCTTTGTTTGCATGAGCTATGAGAACCAAACAGATTGAGAGGGTAGATTTAGCTCCTGGGAGGAGTGAGCACAAAATAGATGAAGGCCGCGGGTGGAGGCAAGGGGGAAACCGAGCAACAGGTGGACGTAAGGTGGCTCCTAGCCTAGCCAAACTGTCAAGGAGCAACCAGCTTAAGAGCAGGAAAGGTGGGGCTGAGAGATGAAGACAGCTTGGGTAAAACTCTAACCCTAACCATGGACGGAGTTTTGGGGGGGACAGGGGAGACATGTCCCACTCTTTCCAAAGTCAGTTTTTGTCCCCTGCACTTTTCACCGTCCCAGAACAACATTACGGTCTGTTACCTAGACACCGCTTGACAGTTCTGTATTCCTGACATTGTATAAAAGAGCCTCTAGGCCAGTGGTCCTCAATAGTTCTCTATGTGGCCCCCGAACCCCGCGCGCACCCACCCACCCATCCCGGGACGACGGGCGAACGGGAGGTGTGCTGCCACACAGAGGGCTGGGGTAGTGAACAGGAGCCGGAAGGGAAGGGACATGTGTTGTTCTTTATATCGTAAGCTTGTGTGTTGCGTGCATTACAGCCAGCGATCCAAGCAGCAGCACCCCCCACCACCCGGTCCGGACCTCTGGCTTCTGGGTCTTTTTCTTGAGTGGCCCTTGGACCATTATAATTGAGAACCTCTGCTCTAGGCTGTAGTTTCATACATATTGTTGTATACTTACAGTAAAGACCCCCCCCTCCCCCACTTCTAATATCAAAACTACGTCCGTGACCCTAACCCATCTGAGCGACCTCAGCTGTAACACCTTCAGAGGGGTCCCGATGGCCTCCCTCTCTGAGAACAACCATGTTCAGACCAGACCATCCTCCTGATGAGCCTGACTCTTCTGAGTGGTACCTGATCTTTAGTCTTCGTACTGAAGCAGGAGCACTGATGGACCAGACGTGGACCTCCTAGACTGAGGTGTCTTCAGCATACACTTACCAGTAACCAGCTGCACCACAGAGCATCACACATCCATCTGACATCCTCATACATCAGTTACTGTAATTGTTCTGCAAACGTCTGTTTTCATTCAGATGCATCGTTTTTTTAATTATTCTTCATCGCTTCATCTATAAAACGGTGAACGTGTGAATCATCCCAGAAGATTGATGTTTTGTATGTTTTGGGTTAATGAAGCAGAATATTTTTAACACAGATTTTGTATAATTTTCCTTTCTTTTTTTGTCCATTCAAAGCAGTAGATAACACTGATTATAACCCTTCAGTTATCACTGATGCTTGTGTTTTTTATGTGATCAGCTGTGGTGCACCATACAAGGCGATGATCCGTTACCTGGAACAAAGCTTCCCTGGACCACATCTTTGTAGGCCCACCAAGCGTCATCGAGCTTTGATGTAATAGGCTGAGCTGCAGAGAGACACAGAGAAAAGAGCCGGTTTACATCAGCAGCGGAGGAAAAAATCTCTTTCATGTCCGAGCTCCTGTGTGAGCCCAGCGAGAGAGCAAAGAGCGGCAGAGAGGAGAGAACCCGGCTGAGAGCTCAGAACAGATACCGTTTGATTAAAGGTAATGAAGTTACCAATCAACTCAGTGATTCAAATGTCAAGTTTGTCATTAAACCTTCATTTGCTTAAAAAACTTAAACAGAGCAGAAGCAGGGGTCCCCATGGGCCCAGCAGCACCATGTTGGGACTTCAGACCCGTTCCCAGAGCAGGATGAGCTGCATGATGCAAACATCTCACATAATAATGAATAAAATAATGACCACATGTGCATTTGTTGTAAATTGTTGACTAAGTGGGACCTGGAGGGTTCTGCACAAGCCAGCCACCTCCTACTGGTGATGACGCAATCACCGCGTGCATCCTCAGTCATCCGACAACGTTTTCCTCTGAACATCATCCACACGCCGTTATTACTCAGCTTTAGAAATGTAACTGCAGAACTGCTCAGATAAACAAACATCTCCTTGAGAGTCAGAGCCAAAACCTGACTTCCATGCGTCTAAAACCAGATTTAGTTCTCAGAGATCTACTTCAGTCAGCCATGTTTTACTGTTTGAACCGAAGCTGTGATCGGGTCGGACCACAATTCCTATCACATCCGTTTTTGTATCAGTCCACATCGATATACAGTAGGTCCAGAAAGTATTCAGACCACCATCGGTTCCACACTCTTTGTTATATTGCAGCCATTTGCATGGTGGCGCAGTGGTTAGCACTGTTGCCTCGCAGCACGAAGGTCGCAGGTTCGAAACTCGGCTGCGACCTTTCTGCGTGGAGTTGCGTGTTCTCCCCGTGCATGCGTGGGTTTCCTCCGGGTACTCCGGTTTCCTCCACAGATCACAACATGCCCTATAGGTTATAAATTGTACGTCGCTTTGGATAAAAGCGTCTGCTAAATAAATAAACATAACCATAAACATTTGCTGAAATCAATTCAATTCATTTTTTTTCCACATTAACCCTCTCAGGCTCAAAATAAGTTTTGATAAAAGGACGAACATCTAAGTCCTTCAGGGGAACTTCTGAGTTAAAACATGCTCATGACATACGTGTGTGGAGTAACCAGGAAGGTAGGTGTTTACGTTGCACACCTGCAACGCCTGCCTCCAGAGGGTTAATGTTCACACAGCACCCCATTTTCATTCATTCATTCATTTGTTTATTTTTTTCTCACTTGGCAATTTCATTCATCATTAATTCACAACACAAACATCAAGAGCAATCTCTCAAGTGAAGAGAGGGGGGAAGAAGAAGTGTTAAATGACCTTCCTTGTTCTACTAGATACAAGAGAATTACACACAAACCAAGCTTACGTCTTTCTTTTCTTTGCAAACAACATCTCAATAAAAACAAGTCAAAATCCTCCTTCAGTATTTACTTATATTTATATATATATTTATTTATATATATATATCATGGGATTTCATCCTTTTCTCTGTAGAAAGTTCCCTACATTGATCCATGGATACACTTTTTTCAGGTCATCATCCAGGTCATTCCATAGTTTTACTCCACATACACATTTGTTTTGATGTTGTTCGTGCAAAAAATATTTTAAACTCAGGCTTCTTTCTAGTTTTTCCACCATGTGAAATCGAAAGAAAAAACGTCTGTACCTTCACTCGCACTAACATCTTTGTCACCTTGAGCATAACAGAACCAAATCCCTGAGTTTCATCGTTTTCATCAGTATGTTCTCTAGCATCTACTTTATACATCACAACGTTCCTCTGTAACAGAAGCAAAGGATTAGTATTTGTTTTATGTGTATCGCTCCAAGCCTCTACACAATAAGTCACTAATATAATATATGAAGTGTTGATGGCAAAATACTCTTTATTTAAAAGTCCAATATTTTACAAAGTTTTTGTTTTAAGTTACATATTTTATGTGATATTTCCATATAAAATATTGATTACACTGATTGGACTTGATTAGCAAAGCCACACAGCTGTCTGTATAAGACCTTACAGCTCACAATGCAGGTCAGAGCAAATGAGAATCATGAGGTCAAAGGAACTGCCTAAAGAGCTCAGAGACAGAATTGTGGCACGGCCCAGATCTGACCAAGGATACAAAAACATCTCTGCTGCACTCCAGGTTCCTAAGAGCACAGTGGCCTCCATAGTCCTCACATGGAAGACGTTTGGGACCACCAGAACCCTTCCTAGAGCAGACCGTCCAGCCAAACTGAGCTACCGGGGAGAAGAGCCTTGGTGAGAGAGGCAAAGAAGAACCCTAAGATCACTGTGGCTGAGCTCCAGAGATGCAGTCAGGAGATGGGAGAAAGTTGTAGAAGGTCAACCATCACTGCAGCCCTCCACCAGTCAGGGCTTTATGGCAGAGTGGCCCGTCAGAAGCCTCTCCTCAGTGAAAGACACGTGAAAGCCCACATGGAGTTTGCTAAAAGACACCTGAAGGACCCAGAGATGGTGAGAAACGAGATTCTCTGGTCTGATGAGACCAAGATAGAACTTTTGGGCCTTAATTCTAAGCGGAGTGTGTGGAGAAAACCAGGCACTGCTCATTACTTGTCCAATACAGTCCCCACAGTGAAGCATGGCGGTGGCAGCATCATGCTGGAAGACCGGTTGCAATCGAGGGAACGATGAATGCGGCCAAGTACAGGGATGTCCTGGACAAGAACCTTCTCTAGAGTGCTCAGGACCTCAGACTGGGCTGAAGGTCTACCTTCCAACATGACGACGACCCTAAGCACACAGCTGAAATAATGAAGGAGTGGCTTCACAGCAACTCTCTGACTGTTCTTGAATGGCCCAGCCAGAGTCCTGCTGAGCAACTCTGGAGAGACCTAAAGGTGGCTCCACCAACGTTCACCATCCAACCTGACAGAACTGGAGAGGATCCCCACATCCAGGTGTAAGAAACTTGTTACACCTTTACCGAGAAGACCCACGGCTGCATTAGCTCTAAAGGTGCTTCTACTCAATACTGACAAAGGGTCGGAATACTTAGGACCATGTGATGATTCATGATGATGGGGCGACGGTGCCACACGACTAAATCAAATACTGGCCTTTTATCATTTACCATAATGGTGATGAAGATGACGATGATCATCATCATCTTCATCACCAGTGAATCAAACTGGTCAAAATCAGATTTGCTAGATTTCATGTAATAAATGGAAATAAGGATCAAATCTTTAGATTTTAGGATTAATAAGTGGAGTTTCTGCATATGAAGCTTTATTGGGATGAATAAATAATAAAACACTCTGTTGTTTTACTTTTTCTTCCGTTGAATTAGGAAAACAAAGATTTTGGACCAAAACAAAGTCTTTCACAGAGTCTCCCTCTCTGTGTTTGGCTACTTTAGTCTTTATGTTCTGAGCTCAGCCCAAACCAGACCAACCCAGCCTCATGGAAATCATTACCCACTAATTATTTATAAGTCTAATATAATATATTATTCATTAGTTGTGAATTTCAAATCAAAGCACTTTCAGGCACATTTTATTATTTTTATGTGTCAGCCTATTTTGTTTGTTCCAAATTTTCTGTTCATTGGATTTATTTCGATCTTTCCCAGCCCTGATGACTCTGAGCACATGAGCCGGACTCAGCCCCGATCCCAACACCATGGAGTGTGTCTGGCATTACATGAAGAGCCAGGCGGATGTGAGGAAGCCTGGGTCCTACCAGCCTCCCACCCTTTTCCAGGATCTGAGTGCCTACGACGCTGGACGTTGAGGCAGAATATGAAACAAATCGTAAAACAGCTAAAAGTGACGGTGGCTAAAGAAGGATGACATGCTGTTTATGAGGTGGATGACACGTGTGAGGTTACTCTGCAGGGCTTCGGTGGATAGTGTGTCAAACGCAGGGTAAAGCAGCTGGTGGGTGGTCTGCCCGACGCTTTGATTGGCCGCTACGGTGTCATAAGTCCTTCTTTTACTATATGTGGACAGCGCTAGTCACCAGCTTCATCCTCTCCGAAGGAGAGCCTGTCTCAGGAAAGACGCTCAGCCACAAACAGCTGAAAGAGAAGCTAGCTGCAGAAATGCTGCGGTGTGCTGGCAGCTCAGAGCCACAGCCAGCAAACATCACCGTGTTTCTGTGGGAGTGATGCCACTCAGTCCAGGAAGCTGGCCTCCCAGAGGGGAAGACGCCGATCTACTACAGGAAGTGTCGAGTCCCTCTGTGCCTCAAGTCTAAAAAGAACTGCTGCAGGAAGTGGCACATTGATGTCAATACGTAAATAATAAGTAACTTCTTAATAATATATATAATAATTATCTCTTAGCTTGTTTTTAGTATTGTTTTTATCGCATTTTAAGCTGATCTGTTTCTGCATGTTTGAATGTTAACTTATGAGAATTGTTAGATCTAAATCTGGGATGGTTGTTTCCATTGTCACTGTTTCCTCGTTCTAAAACTCTGTTTTCATTACTCGCGTATCCACGCAGAGTCACGGGGGGGGGGGGGGCTGGTGCCCACCAGAGATGAGCCGGATACCCGTTTCAGACGATTATACAGTACGAATAAAGCATTTTTGACGAATACATGCATAAAACAAGTAAAACTCGTAAAGTCAGCTCGCCACTTTTTCAGTAGAATATTTATAGTTACTATTTTCGTACGTGGTGCATTTGACAAGACAGAGCTGAAAACGGCTCGTGCTGTCAGTCACTGCCTCCACTCTGGTCGGGTTTATTCTTTTACTCTCACGCTCTCCCTCTCTATCTCTCTCTCTCACACACACACACACACACACACACACACACACACACACACACACACACACACACACCCCTTAATCATCACTGTTTTGTTTAACAGTGTGTGGGGGAAAATGCCAACAATGTTAGGAAAAAATCAGTTTAATCAAATTAAAATAAAATGGTTCTAGTATTTCATATTTCCTAGTTCCTACTGCATGAGTTCAGATGCATTAATTCATGCACTTAAACATTAATGTTCTGATTTTACTGAAAAACGTGTTCTGTAATAGTTCCTTTACTATTGTGATCAAACATTTAATATCAGTTCTGAGGCTGCTCTGTAAATAGTTTATAAATAAACAATACACATAGCAACTTCTGATCAATCCATATCAATTTCAGATTTAAAGAAATGTATTGATGTAAACCACACCCACTTCCGGGTTAGGCCACGCCCACTCCGAGTACAGATACAGACACAGATACAGATAGTGGTGCACTCCCATCTCCAGCAGTATCCAGGCAAACAGGAGGGGTAAACCTGTCCATCACAGGACAACCAACCACACACACGCACACCTAAAGATCATTTACACAGACCAATCAACCTGAGAGGTTCCTGGGAGGAAGCTGGAGAACGAACCCACGCATGCATGAGAACATGCTAACTCCATGCAGAAAGACCCCAGGTTGGGATTTGAACCCAAGACCTTCTTGCTGCAAGGCAGCAGCGCTAACCACTGTGCCACTGCACAGCCCTCGTTTTACATTTCATTTTTAATCAATTTCCTCCACTGGGAGTGAAATTCGTTCCTCTGTTGTCTTTGATTGTGAATGGAAGTGTCGGGTGGAGTTTTACCAACGTTGGATAGAACGACATTTTTAGGACAAGATCGAAGTCGAGAAAAAAGAACCTAAGGAAAGCGAAACGGTCAACTGATAAGGTCCGCCTGGACTTTCATCCATTTTACCAACGATCTGTATCAACCTCTCTAACTCTTCTACACTTCACTGTTTTACATGAGTTTTGGTTCAGAAAACGTTTCAGATCCTGTTCAGCTGAAGGTTTTTAGACGGCAAACATCTAAAACATTAAATTAAATTCATTTTTAGGTGGAAATTACAAATGTCTTTCCATTCCTGCTGTGTTCCAAATCCAATGCCTCGATTTTGGTTCCAAAACAACTCAAATAAACCTCGGATTGTTTCAGATATATTCAATTCAATTGGAGAACGTGTTTGTCGAGCAACTAACAGGGTTCCGGGGTTAAGGGGGAGTTCTACTTCTGAGACTGTTCACCAACGTGTTGTTTCTGCAGACAAACGTGTGCACGCCCACAACTCACAACTCTGACTGGTACAGTTCAGCCACATGCAGCGGCCTCAGCAAGCAAATGCTGCAGGAATCAGGCAGGCAGCTGACAGCGGGCACAAAAGCAACCGGAGAGCACCGACAGCTCGGGAACAAAAGTGACTGCGGATCAGCTAAGAGGGCTTCGGGTGGCAGCTAGGTCGGCCAGAAGGGAACAAGGCAGTGAGACCCTCGGAGTTTCAACTGCTCGGTGTTTCTGGTCTCAGCCTGCTGCTGTTGGTCACGTTCCAATTCTACAGGTAACAAACAACCCATCTGTCCGCAGCTTTGCTAAAAAGGAGCCACGGGGATGCGACAGGTGGGTTTGAATTATTAAGTTTGCATTGCATTCTGTCAGACCCAAATCACAAATAGCAGGTTTGTGATTGAATCTCCAGCTTTCTTTGGTTTCGCCAGTTTAGGCGTCAGTCTTTATTTCCTATGAGTCTGACAGGAAGCACGAGCCATCCCTCTGGGACCGGGAGAAGGCGGCATTAGCTGTAGAGTGAAAGTGTTTGAAGTTTTCAATAAGAGTAGAAAAAAGAACTTTCCATTAATATTATTTTCGTCTTTGTTTTGGTCTATAGTTGTTGAAACCGTGGCCATGAGGGGTTGTCCACTGATGGGGAGGCTTGATCCCAGAACCCCCCAGGCTCTGAACAAGCAGCAGCCACTGCTCCTCAAGCATGGATGCAGAGAGGAACTTCCCACAGAAGGTTCAACGAAGAAGCCTCTGATGAAGGAGGCGGGCTCTGCTTTGGGGACTTTAGAGCTGGCTGGACTGAGGATGATGCACCTTTTTCTTACCAATCTCAGCTTGGTGCCGAGCGTTATAAAACTACATAAAACATCTAGAAAGCACCTTTTGGCTACTTAGTACAATTCTGCCCAATTTCCTGTCTGAGAAATGCTGACAGGTGCTTCACACACCTGCTTCAGGCTGAGGTCGAAGATCAGAACCAGGGGACTTCACGTCCCGTTTCAGGATGTCGTGGGCGCGTTGCACTCGACGCTAGCATCAAATACATATTCTGTTGGGTTCGTGGCCATGAGAGCTGCAGCTCTGTCGCCTTCTGAGGTGCCTCCTGCTTCACTGCATCAACCACATTTATATTTGTTAAACGTTTGACTGGAGCTGCACCCTGCAGAGGGAACATATGTCCATCCTCCTCCAGTTTTAAGCCCCGCCCCTCCATGAAACATGATGGCATATTTCCTGCATAAAATGAAATCTCACCTCAGAACAAGTTCCCAGGTGCGGGTTATGGCTGGTTCAAGAGGCTCTCATCATGCATACGCTAACGTTGTGTTTAAAACACACTTAACATCTGTCAGTGATTACACACTGACTGTGAGCAGGTGGGTAGAGAGAACACGCCCTACACCTGACCCCCCCCCCCCCCCCCCCCCCCCCCCCCATCCTTCATGACAGTATACTTCTAGCAACATTCACTTCCTAAGGCAGGGAGCCCTGTAGATGGATGACCCCAGCCTTGCAAGGAGGCTCCTCTCTCATCATGATTCATAGGACTATCTGCTCAGACTCAGTCAGACCCAGGTTCTGGTGGTTCTGATGGTCAGTCAGACCCAGGTTCTGGTGGTTCTCTGCTTCTGAACCTCACAGAGCAGGCTGCTGCCTCCTGTTGGTGATGTTGCCTATGCTGTCTGACTGATCGGCGCTGGGTGTATGAGGTGTGAGTTGGGAATGGTCTAAAGTCCCAGCAGCGCGTCCCATTCCCCACAGGGAGCAGATGTCCTGACCCACACCAGCCAGTCAGTGTCTCTGCTGCTCCAGCTGTATTCGGTAGGATGGTAAAAGCTGCTAGATGGGCTCCTGTGAAGGTGGGAGTTCCCGCTGCCTCCTTACCTGACGAAGTCCAGAGGATGTAAATTTGCAGAATCACAGATAAATCCCAGACGACATGCATTCTTCGTTTATTTCCTGCTCATGTTCTGCAGCTGCTGCGGGGTCGCACTTGTGAACAGCACGGAGAAACTTTGAGCATTTTCCCCTCGTCTCTCCTCCTCGGTGTCGCCTCTCCTTCCCGCGGAGTGCCGAGATGCTGAAGCCTCGCCGGAGATCCGTCTCCACAGCGCCCCGCCGTCCTTCACTTACCGGTGCGTTGCCCAGGCAACATTTCTTTTATTTCCAGCCTCAAAAGAGTCTGTATGCTGCTAGAAGATGAACTGTGTCGAGCGTTCCAGCTGAAACCTGTTCATGACTGACGCTCTGCGCGAAGAGGATGCGTCCTGCGCGCGCACAGCAGCGGAGACGCAAACGCAGCGCTCCGACTCGCTACGTTGTGATGTCCCCTCCTCAGCACCAACAGCACATGTCCACCAAGGAAGAGCAGGACTTTAGAGCGCTGCCTTTGGCCGGAGAAGACTCTTTAGAATAAATAAAGTTGTAAGAGTTTGAATCATCAGAGAAAGCAGGACGAGCCCCACTTCCGCTGACTTACAGAGCAAACACCTCTCACTGGATGCAGATGGCCCTGCTGATTGTTGGGTTCTAGTCTGGTTCTGACCCAAATAAACACTCTGGGGCAGTACCCTGGTGCCTGCGCGCCCCCTGCTGTTAGCTCTCAGTTACTACTGGGTTGGTTTATTCAGGGTTTGTTTGGTTGTTGGGGTTTCTTCTCCGCGGGTTTCTAAAGGATCATCATGGCTGTTTCATTTCCTTCTCACAAGCTGAACAAAATGAATGAAATAGTTGATTAGAGGGTGTACTCTAATCAGGAGCAGTAACCTGTGACGTCACCAACACCATGGTGAAGCAGGTGAGAAAGCCCCGCCTCCCTAGGCTCCAGTAGGAACGTCACTCAGGTGTGAACGGGTCACAGGAAGTTCGGTGCTTGTTACCCAGTCACAGTTCAGGTTGGAAGGTTTTACCTGCCAGCTGATGATGTCACTCTGGCTTAAAAGTGTTAACAATATATTATAATTATACTCCAACAACAATCTAGCATAATATCCTAATGCGTTCACTTGGTGTGTTTTTAACTGATGATCACACTTACAGTACAAGATAAGCATTTATTCCATGTACACCGTTTTCCCACCCGTCCCTAGCCATCCCATAAATGTGAACACACTGCTCAAAAAACGAAGGGAACGCTTAAACAGCACAGTGTAACTCCACCAGTCACAGTTGTGTGAAATCAAACTGTCCACTTAGGAAGCAACTATGGAATGGACAACAGGTGGAGATTATAGGTGATTAGTAAGACATCCCAAATTAAGGAGTGCTTCTGCAGGTGGTGACCACAAACCACGTGCACGTCACTTTGGATAAAAGCGTCTGAACAGTGAAGCCCGATAGCCTCCGCTATCCTCGGTCAGATATGTAACTGTTTTGTTTTGGGGCAGCAGCAGCTCAGGTGGTAGAGCGGGTTCGATTTCAGCTCCTGCCAGGGGTATTCTGCTGTTGTGTCCTTGGGCAAGACACTTCACCCAAGTTGCCTGTGTTTGCGGTGGTTGGAGGGGCCGACGGCGCCAAATGGCAGCATCGCCTCTGTCAGACCGCCCCAGGGCAGCTGCGGCTACAAAGTAGCTTACCATCACTGGCAGTGTGTGAGTGTGATGGAGTAATTTTCACTTTAGAAGTGTGTGTGTGTGTGTGTGGGGGGGGGGGGGGGGGGGGCACGGGGGGGTATTTTTACAGTATGTTCTAATGGGAAACTAGCTAGAGGGAAAAAAATCATCCAAATTACTGCCAAGTCCAGCTGGCAGACACCCAACAAGTCTTGGCATTAAGTTCATCTCATGTCCTGTTTGAGTGTCCGCTACTGGCAGTAGACACGAATGTAAAAGGGCCCGAGTACTGCTCCGTAGGGTTCCCTTACCGTGTGATTTGAATGTTGTGTTCTCCAGATTTTGGCTCCAGTTCTGGGCTACCTCCAGCAGCTCCAGGTTCCACTGCTGAAACAGGCTTCTTCTCTCCTCTTGGCTTTTAGAGTTCAGCAGCTCAGACTGATCACAGCTTACTTTGGCTGGAAAAGAGCGTTGGTAGCCATATCATTTGCTGCATGATTATAACGCAGCAGACCAAATGATGAACCACTGTTGACACTAATTTGTGCAACATGTGCTGTTTTTCTTCAGCAGCAGGTTAATGTGCTCTACTACCTTCTAGATCTTGTTGCAGCTGATCTAAGTCCGTCAGAGCTGCTGGATCCTTAACGATGCCCCTGATCAGAAATATCAGGTTACTGAGGGCATTGTACACATGTACAGGTGCTGGCCAGTAAATTAGAATATCATCAAAAGGTTGAAAATATTTCAGTAATTCCATTCAAAACGTGAAACTTGTACATTATATTCATGCAATGCACACAGACCAATGTATTTCCAATGTTCATTACATTTAAATTTGATATTTATAGGTGACAACCAATGAAAACATCAAATCTGGTATCTCAGAAAATTAGAATATTCTAAAGGCCAATGAAAAAATTTTTGTTTCTCTAATGTTGGCCAACTGAAAAGAATGAACATGAAAAGAATGTGCATGTATAGCACTCAATACTTAGTCGGGGCTCCTTTTGCCTCAATAACTGCAGTAATGCGGCGTGGCATGGACTCGATCAGTCTGTGGCACTGCTCAGGTGTTATGAGAGCCCAGGTTGCTCTGATAGTCGTCTTCAGCTCCTCTGCATTGTTGGGTCTAGCGTATTGCATCCTCCGCTTCACAATACCCCATAGATTTTCTATGGGGTTAAGGTCAGGCGAGTTTGCTGGCCAATCAAGGACAGGGATACCATGGTCCTTGAACCAGGTGCTGGTGGTTTTGGCACTGTGTGCAGGTGCCAAGTCCTGTTGAAAGGTGAAGTCTGCATCCCCATAAAGTTGGTCAGCAGCAGGAAGCATGAAGTGCTCTAAAACTTCCTGGTAGACGGCTGCATTGACCCTGGACCTCAGGAAACAGAGTGGGCCAACACCGGCAGATGACATGGCACCCCACACCATCACTGACGGTGGAAACTTTACACTGGACCTCATGCAACGTGGATTCTGTGCTTCTCCGCTCTTCCTCCAGACTCTGGGTCCTTGATTTCCAAAGGAAATGCAGAACTTGCTTTCATCAGAAAACATAACTTTGGACCACTCAGCATCAGTCCAGTCCTTTTTGTCCTTGGCCCAGGCGAGACGCTTCTTGCGCTGTTTCTTGTTCAAGAGTGGCTTGACACACGGAATGCGACACCTGAATCCCATGTCTTTCATGAGTCTCCTCGTGGTGGTTCTTGAAGCGCTGACTCCAGCTGCAGTCCACTCTTTGTGGATCTCCCCCACATTTTTGAATGGGTTTGTCGTCACAATTCTCTGCAGGGTGCGGTTATCCCTAGAGCTTGTACACTTTTTTCTACCACATTTTTTCCGTCCCTTCGCCTGTCTGTTAATGTGCTTGGACACAGAGCTCTGCGAACAGCCAGCTTCTTTAGCAATCACCTTTTGTGTCTTGCCCTCCTTGTGCAAGGTGTCAATGATTGTCTTTTGGACAGCTGTTAAGTCAGAAGTCTTCCCCATGATTGTGGTGCCTTCAAAACAAGACTGAGGGACCTTTTAAAGGCCTTTGCAGGTGTTTTGAGTAAATCAGCTGATTAGAGTGGCAGCAGGTGTCTTCTATATTCAGCCTTTTCAGAATATTCTAATTTTTTGAGATACCAAATTTGGAGTTTTCATTAGTTGTCACTTATGAATATCAAATTTAAATGTAATGAACATTGGAAATACATTGGTCTGTGTGCATTGCATGAATATAATGTACAAGTTTCACGTTTTGAATGGAATTACTGAAATATTTTCAACCTTTTGATGATATTCTAATTTACTGGCCAGCACCTGTAGGTATGTCTCAGCAGCACCATCTATGGGTCCAGGGACTGAAACAAAAACACAAAGTTAGAGTGTAGAACAGATTCCCATCATCCACAGAGCCGATTTCCATCTTAACCAGAGATTACCGTTGAGCCAGGGAGGAATGAAGCCTTTGATGATGTCTTCATGAGCCAGGGCACAGCCTAAGACACCTGCACAGTAGAGCAAACAGGCTTCAACACAAACGGTTGTTTTCTGCTTGGTCCTAGAGCTCGATCAGTGTCAATTTAATATAGCGTAATATTGTTTTTTGGGTGGTAAAAAGTGCAGGGGTCAAAACTTGACTTTGGAAAAAGTGGGTGGGACATGCCCCCACCCCCCAAATTACGTCCATGTGTGAAAGTGTCTTTGAGTGTCCTGAAAAGCGCTCAGTGGTCTCCCTCAGAGATCCACAAATGACCTGCATGACCACAGCCTCGCTCCGGAGCCGGTCTGGGAAACCGCCGGCCGTCTGCTCTAACAACTGTTCCCGGGCAGCAGACAGAAGGGCCCCCGCTCAAGTTTCTTATGTATTAGTAACCTGTTTGACCAAGCAGTTAAAGGACACAGCACCCCCCCCCCCCCCCCCCTCCATCAGCTAAATAAAGTAGAGAAAAGTACGTTTACTTACTGACAAAAACAAGCAGAAACTGCTTGGATGGTCCGTTGCTGCAGACAGTCACCTCAGCTCGCCCTTTTGTCCAACTGATTCCATGATTCCAGATTTTTAAGCATTTCGTTCCACTTAAACAGAAGAGTTACAAAACAGTTCAACCCCCCTCAGAGTTGTCATGAGTGTAAACTAGATCTATTAAATCTCAAATGTTTTTTTGAACCAGGCTGTAAACATGTTTATTTCTCCTGTGAAAATGGCTTTTTTAATATGGGAGTCAATGAGGATTTGTTCATTTCTGCTGCCACACCCTAGTGGATGAAACTGGAACTGCAGCTTTTGCCACTTTCCTGTTGGGTTCATGTTCATCCCAGGATTAAAGGGGGTCTGGTCCTGAAAGACTCAAACATCCAAATCTGGCATGGCAGCCACAACCACAGGTGATTCAGACCATGTCTGTTGGTGGAGCTGAAGTCTGCTACTGTCCACGCTGTCTGTCCTCCAGCCTCTTGTGGTGTTCCTCACCTGGTTCTGGTCTTTAGGGCCTTGCATGGACAAGCACCATAATACACCGGTGATGTTCTCCCTCCCTACACCCCCAGCAGGTCCCTGAGGCCCAGTGATCAAAGCCTACTGGTTGTGCGGCACCAGGCTAAAGACCAAAGGTGACAGATCTGGAACTCTCTCCCCCTGAGCCTGAGATCAGTGGTCTCCTTTAAAAAGCAGCTGAAGACTCACCTGTTCAGGCTCTGGTGTGACCTTCATCACCCTCTCCTTGTTCTGCTCTTTCTACCAACTCTGCCTTTCCTGAGATCCACTGATTTCCTTCTTTCCCTTTCCTTACATTTTAATCAGCATTTCTTGACTCATTTTTACCTCCTTTTTAATCTTTTTTATATTTAAAATGTTTTGTTCTTCTGAGGCACCTCATGACTTGTATCTTGAGAGGCGCTTTAGAGCCAGGACAGCCGGCTCCCAGTCACTGGGGTGAAGCTGGTCGCTTGAGGGCAGGATTTTAGCCAGGTGGACAACATGGCTGTGAAACAGTAAAACCATCAGGTATTAAGAGATGAACCATGCAACAGTTACTCTGCAAACACATAAAACCAAGAATATTACAAATGAGAATGTGTCGTTATGATTAATTATTTCATGTTGGAGTATGCTGCTTCCTAGAATTTAAATGATTACTTTTTCTGCATAATGTTAAATTAATTCAAGCTGAAATTGCTTCTTCCATGGTTGGGTAGTTCCTCTCCTCCATTAAAGCAGAGAGTTCAGGCAGTACGGTGGCAGTTTGTGTGTGTGAGGCTCTGTGGAGGGGTTAGGGTGTGTTATTTCCACTGAATGTATTTATTCTACATTTTGATTAGTTTTCAAATGGAGTAAAGAAAAAAAGTTTGGTCACGTGGGATGTGGGATGCACACAGAAGATGGACTCCAGCCGGGGTTCAGATTTTTATTTATAAAGATATTTACGTAACAAAATGAGTGCATTTGCTGTACCACACTCAGAAACACACTACGATAAATGAACAGTGTGGTCGTACAGAAGCTCTGGCGTGGCCTTCGTTTGCGCTGATGCTGAATAGAAGCTGAAACCTTCAGATTTATCTCACTTCAATCCAGAGAGGCAGAAATCAGGAACCTGGCACACCTCAGATCCTAGAGGGAACGACGGAAATGAAGAGGACAAGTTATTAAACCCCTTTACACACACACATGTACACACACACCGTACATGCACAAACACACATGTACACACACACACATGTACACACACACCGTACATGCACAAACACACATGTACACACACACACATGTACACACACGCACGCACAAACACACACACACATGTACACACACACACACACGCACACACACACACACACACCGTACATGCACAAACACACATGTACACACACACACCGTACACGCACAAACACACATGTACACACACACATGTACACACGCACACGCATGCACAAACACACACACACATGTACACACACACACGCACAAACACACACACACACCCGTACACACACACACACAAACACACACACGCACACACACACACGCACACACACACACACACACACACACGCACACACACACATGTACACACACACACACGCACAAATACACATGTACACACACACATGTACACACACACACACGCACAAACACACATGTACACACACACACACGCACAAACACACACACACGCACGTACACACATGTACACACACACGTACACACACGCACACATGTACACACACGTACACACACGCACACACATGTACACACACGTACACACACACACACACATGTACACACACGCACGCACAAACACACATGTACACACACACACACGTACACACACACGTACACACACACACACACACACGTACACACACACACACACAAACATACGTACACACACACACACACAAACATAAACACACACACACACACACACACACACACACACACACACACCTGTCTCCTCATCTCTATTCAATTCAAGTTTATTTATATAGCACCAAATCACGACAAGAGTCATCTCAAGGCACTTCACATAATAAATATTCCAATTCACAGTTCATTAAGCCAATCAGAAATAATGTTTCCTATATAAGGAACCCAGCAAATTGCATCAAGTCACTGACTAGTGTCACTGACTTTACAGCAATCCTCATACTAAGCAAGCATGCAGCGACAGTGGAGAGGAAAACTCCCTTTTAACAGGAAGAAACCTCCAGAGAATCCTTGCTCAGTATAAGCAGCCATCCTCCACGACTCACTGGGGATGGAGAAGACGGAACACACACACACACACACACACACACACACACACACACACACACACACATCTACCGTTTCAGTCCTCAGTTGAGATGTTATACAGAAATGTGTGATTCAGATTTCATCCTCCCAGGCTGCCACCCCACCTTCTCATCCACCACGACCACACTCGCTCCACCCCCCCAACCTTTTGCTCTGTCGACGGAGTGCAGCCTTTCTCATCTCCTCCAGCAGCGCCTCCCTGTTGTTCCTGATGTTGGCTTTAGCGATCTCCAACAGCGACTGGATCTTGTCCTGGCTGAAGGGAAGCTGGAAGGTGGAGAACTCTTCCCTCTTTGCTTTGAAATCTTCTTCATCTGTAGGGAACAACAACAAAGCTCTCGTCTTGTTGACTGAATATTTAATCAGATCTAACAGCTTAAACATCAGTTATAGCTGCGTGCTGCTCTGGCCTTGTGTCGTGACTGTGGGAACTGTACACAGACACATCATGGCTACCTCAACCCCACCTCAAACCAACATCTCCTCCAAGCCCACCAGTCGTTTCTGCATAGCATCACTATGGAGAAGAATGCTTCATTCATGCTAAGCTAGCTCGCCCCAGGAGTCTTTAAATTGTGACTAAAATCCAAGCACCTTGATGGATGCTGTCCACTTCATGTTTGGTTGCAAAGGACTAATTTAGACTTCCTTAAATACAAACATGAATTTCATTAGAAAATATGATCAATTACAAGATCAAGTTTCATGGAGGGTCGTGTGACGGTTACATTGACCCATGAGAAACGGCCCTGATGTGGGACCGACCTTTGAAGGTGATCTGAATTGCATCAAATATATAAATAGTACGTGCTTTTAAATGATTGCTTTAGAAAGATAAAATATGTGGTGGATAAATCTACCCACATTTTCCTTTCAAACACACGGTTTAGTTTTTTTGTTTGTTATGCGAGTATTTTTCTGCCCTGTCTGTCTGATTTTCCTGCAGCTCCTCTCAATCCTGCCGAAAACTGCTGCCTGGCTTCATCTTTTCACCTCGCGAGTTACTTTTGAACCAAGCAGCTCAACGGGATCTACTGACCGCCGGCCTTCAGTGAGGTGAAGTCACCTGAGCATAGGACAGGTAACGCGCTCCGCTCCGCAGCAGCAAGCTAAAGCACCGGAGAATATTAGCCGACATGAACGATTGTGTGTTAATTATATATTTTTGGGGGAGGCGACACTTTGACAATGTTACTGTGGCCGTGCACAGGACACAGCCGCCTGGAGCACATCAACGATCAGCGCTCTGCATTCTCTCCACCCAAAATAATCCACGTATGTAATGTAATATAAGTAAAACCAGGATCTTTTTTCCCCCTGGGTGTGTAAGTTCAGAAGCCCTGAACCTGAAGACAAACTGGAAGGAAGTTCCATGAGATGGTTTTCTTGTTTCCTGTACTGCTCCTCCCCAGACCCGATGGACATACGGAGACATGTCCCCAAAGGACAGTTTAGTGGAAGGGTGTAGTTAGCTGGTTACTGCAGGTTTAGCTAGGTACGTTAAGTTATCACTGAATCCTAATTCAACCCACCACCTCCTTCCCACCACTACTGTTATTATCGGCAAAGATAAAATAAACATCAACATTTTTATTGTAAGTTTAGGATTTTTTTATGTTTTAGCACTTTGTGCATTAAACCAAATTTGGTTCATTTCTTAAGTTTGTTGTTTGGTAAATGGTAAATGTCCTGTATTTGATATAGCGCCTTCTAGAGTCCTGGAACCCCTCAAGGCACTTTACAACACAATCAGACATCCACCCATTCACACCCTGGTGAGGATGAGCTACGATGTAGCCACAGCTGCACTGGGGCGCACTGACAGAGGCGAGGCTGCCGAGCACTGGCGTTACCGGTCCCTCCGACCACCACCAGCAGGCAAGGTGGGTTAAGCGGGTTAAGGACACAACGACAGCGACAGACTGAGCGGGGCTTGAACCTGCAACCTTCCGATCTACGGGGCGAGCACTTAACTCCTGTGCCACCGTCGCCCTTTTTCTGAAATTTCCACTATTGGAAATTACGGATAATTTTACAGGAACTTCCCAAACGTTTCCACTTCACTGGACCGGCCGACCGAGCCTTTTCCTGGCCACTTTCAGGGGTGGGTATGGAAAAGCCCGATAGAGTAGCTGAGAGGAACCGTTGGTTAACTCAGAATGACGCTCAGCAGACATCGTCCAAAACAACCAGCAGGAGCCAACTTAGACGATTTGATTGTAAAGCAGAAATTAAGCAAATCAAAATAAGCTGCTCTAAAATCTAAAGTTACTAAACTCTTAACACTGAAAGGTGCAGCGAATTCCCCCACGACGATGTCATTCACGGGGCTTCGTTGTCTCACAACAAGAAACAGAGCTGCATAATCCCTGGTGAAAGCGTGGCCCTTTAATGCTTCTAGGGGGCGCTGTTGAAACATAAGGTCACGCCCACAGAAATGTGCATAAATATGTGTCGGGTTGGATAAATACGTTAAATTTGGAGCAGGTCAGATGGCAGATGTGGAAACAAGAGGCAAACGTGTGATTTCAGCATGATGTCAGACGTCACACACGACTGACTCTTGTGCAACATTTGGTGGGTTTTTTAAAATGTTGGCCTCCAAAAAGCCAATTTTATTCAGGAAAAGAAGCATAATGGTAAACATCTGAAGGGCCATGATCATGATTGATGGTGTGTTCACACCTTTGCAGTTCCTCCTGTTGAAGAGCGGCATATACACAATCGTCGGCTCCTTCCCTTTTCCTTCAAAGACGTAGAAGTCCTTTGGAAAGTCTCTGTCCTTCAAGATCGTCTCATCTATCTCTGGGAAAGGCTTCATCACCTCATCTGCGTAGTCTCTGGCGAGTGTTAGAGTCTGTTCATGAGGCAGAGGTTTAAGTTTTAGTGAGTTTAACAAAAGAAATGTCATCAAATATATTAAACTCTGATTAGGTTTCACTGTTTCAATTTTAAAAGATGTATGGAGAGAAATAAGACTCAAAAGATGTGTTTGTGTGTGCGTGCGTGTTCGTGCGTATGTGTTTATGTTTATTTATTTAGCAGACGCTTTTATCCAAAGCGACTTACAATTTATAACCTATAGGGCATGTTGTGATCTGTGGGGGAAACCGGAGTACGCGGAGGCAACCCACGCATGCATGGGGAGAACACGCAACTCCACGCAGAAAGGCCGCAGCCGAGTTTCAAACCTGCAACCTTCGTGCTGCGAGGCAACAGTGCTAACCACTGCGCCACCATGCAGTGTGCGCGCGCGTGAATGTGTTTAACTCACTAAACACATACACCTCTTTAGTTACACACACACACACACACACACACACACACGCACATCTTTTGAGTCTTATTTCTCTCCATACGATGCCCCTGCCACTACCTCAAACATGTTTCCAGCACTGTACTCCTGTGCAATGATGAGGTCTATGTCTCTCTTGTCTCCCAAGAATGAAGGATAGGCCACATTAATCAGCATCCCAGCATCTATCAGGTGGAAGATCTCTGCAGAATGGAGGCAAGCTGGAACCGAGGAATCTGTGCACAACAACAAACACAACATCAAATTTCTGAAGACATTTTTAGCTAAAGAAGCTTTTATTGGTGGTTTGACTTCAAGCATCGTTTAGGAGCTTCCTGCTGTATCGTGCTCTTTATGTGATCTTTGAAGGTCTTTAAGAATGAGGCAATGGTGGCATAACTAGAGGGTTGCAGGTTCGTGTTTCGCTCTGTCTGTTGCAGTCGTTGAGTCCATGGTCTAAATAAAACGGCCGTGCCTGCTGGCGGCGGTCGGAGGGACTGTTGGTGCCCGTGCTCAGCAGCCTCACCTCTGTTAGTGCGCCCCAGGGCAGCTATGGCTACGATGAATCTCATCACATTTTTCATGCTTCTTAACAATGCTTTAACATAGTATAGCTATAAATTTATTTTGGAGATTACAGTAAAAAAGATGTTTCTCTCATATTTGTCTTAAAACCTCCAGGACAACCTACCAGAGTCTAAAAAAGATAAACACCATTTGACGTCACGGACAACATAAGACCTCTGGACCTAGAAAACGGTGCTTTGTTGTTTTCTCTGGCATTGTGGGTTTCCGGTTTCAGCAGAAACGTCTGAGGGAAGATACCGAGGGGAGGGGTGAGTGTTCCGTGACCATGTTTGCATTCAAAACCTAGCTTGTTCTGTAGATTAGCTATAACAGCTTGAGACCTGGATGAGCCAAGGGGCAACATTTACTGAAGGATTCAGTTTTTTCTGTTACCCTGGAGTAGCCTGGCTGAGTGGAGGTTAACCGCCGGCCGTCTCACCTTGGTATTGATAGAGGAAGTTGCTGGTTGTTCCCCACTCCCATTTCATCACCAGAGGAAGGATTTGCTGAGTGAGAAAACTAGCTGGAGAAAAAAAAAATCTTCCAAATTACTGCCAAGTCCAGCTGGCAGACACCCAACAAGTCTCGGCATTAAGTTCATCTCATGTCCTGTTTGAGTGTCCGCTACTGGCAGTAGACACGAATGTAAAAGGGTCCGAGTACTGCTCCGCAGGGTTCCCTTACCGTGTGATTTGAATGTTGTGTTCTCCAGATTTTGGCTCCAGTTCTGGGCTACCTCCAGCAGCTCCAGGTTCCACTGCTGAAACAAGCTTCTTCTCTCCTCTTGGCTTTTAGAGTTCAGCAGCTCAGACTGATCACAGCTTACTTTGGCTGGAAAAGAGCGTTGGTAGCCATATCATTTGCTGCATGATTATAACGCAGCAGACCAAATGATGAACCACTGTTGACACTAATTTGTGCAACATGTGCTGTTTTTCTTCAGCAGCAGATTAATGTGCTCTACTACCTTCTAGATCTTGTTGCAGCTGATCTAAGTCCGTCAGAGCTGCTGGATCCTTAACGATGCCCCTGATCAGAAATATCAGGTTACTGAGGGCATTGTACACATGTAGGTATGTCTCAGCAGCACCATCTATGAGTCCAGGGACTGAAACAAAAACACAAAGTTAGAGTGTAGAACAGATTCCCATCATCCACAGAGCCGATTTCCATCTTAACCAGAGATTACCGTTGAGCCAGGGAGGAATGAAGCCTTTGATGATGTCTTCATGAGCCAGGGCACAGCCTAAGACACCTGCACAGTAGAGCAACTCATCAGGACACATGAGCAGGGAGGGGTCCTCTGATTCAGGGCATTTCGCTGGAGAACGTTTATAATCATCTGAATTTTGTTCAGTTTCAGCACTTTGTGTTTTTCCTCGACTCGAGTCCTCAGGAGAGAAAACATTTTAGACATATTTAGAAAATGACTTTCTTTTTACATTTTGCATTTTGAAGCTCAATAGAAAACATAATTTTTTTCATTTTACATGAATGACAAAACATTTTTCATAAAGCTTTCTTCTCCTAAAAACTCCCCCACCATCTCCACTTCCTCTCTCACGATGGAGGTGGTTAACGTTATCCTGCTTCGTCTAAATTCAACAGCAATCTCTTCTGCTTGGTTCACACTGAAGATGAGATGATAGTTTCCACTCCGCTCGACAAAGCGGTCCACCACGTCCCCTGACAACCTGAGGTGGACAGCATAAACAGGAAGGGAGAGAGTACCGTGCCCTGTGGTGCTCCACCTGGTCAGCTAGTGCGCAAACCTTCAGCCTAAAAACTGGTGTTTGTTAATCAGGTAGTAAATAATCCAGGAGATCTGTGTGTTAGGGTTAGAAAATCCTCTCTAAAGCAGGTTCTAATCCCGCTCTGACATGAGATTTAGATGAAACGTTTATGAAAGAAAAAATACTGTTTCTTTATTTTAAATGGGAAAAAAACTCAAAAATTCAAGCTCTTCTCAAGTCTCAAAGTCATGTCATGTACACACACACACAGAGAGAGAGAGAGAGAGAGAGAGAGAGAGAGAGAGAGAGAGAGAGAGAGAGAGAGAGAGAGAGAACATAGATATGCCTCGTATACATTGTAAATACCTTTAGGGTTAATTTGATGACGACAACACAGATGCTGTATAAGAAGGGCCAAAGCTGCCTCCCCCTCCTGAGGAGGCTGAGGTCCTTCAGAGTTAATACCAGCTGCTAAAATCCTTTTATCACTCTGTTGTTGGCTCTGTTATCCACTCTGCTGTGGTCTGTTGGGGTGCAGGCAGCTCTGACCGAGACAGGAAGAGACTGAACACGCTAGTCAACAATGCTAGCTTGGTTCTGAGCTGCCCACTGGACACAGCTGAGGAGACACCCACTGTGTTCCACTGTGGAGACCATGGACAGCTCCTTCAGCGGCAGACTGACATCCCGGATGTAAAACAGAACACTACCGTACGTCATTCATCCCCTCTGCAGTAAGAGTGTAGACCTTCTCAGTTTAACTGGTACTGGCATCATCCTGGTACACAATAACACCAGTGCAATACTCAGTATGTGTTCAATACTCCAATACTCCTGCAATACCAGATTTATATACCATACCATACCATACCATATTTATTTATAAAGCACCATTTCAAAATAGCATGGCAGCTAACCAAAGTGCTGTACATAAAAAAAGCCAAATGTTTGACCAAGAAACACGATAAGAACAGGCAAAATACATAAGAACAAAGCATAAATAGTCGGAGATAAAAATTCCTATACTAAAAACAATAAAATAGGAGAACAGTTAACAGCACTATAAAAAAAAAATAATGCGACGGCCGACGAATGATAAAAACATTTGAAATGGCACAAATAAAACAAAATAAAATACCAGATGGTGCGAGGTGCCAAAAGTGAGCAACTGAATCATAAAAACAGAATTAAAAAATCAAATCCGGTGCTAGATTGTCATGAATAGTGTCACGGAGGGAAGGCAATGCTAAAGAAGTGCGTTTTCAGGGCCGACTTGAAATTGCTAACAGAGGGAGGCAGACGCACACGGAGGGGCAGAGAGTTCCAGAGTTTTGGGGCTGCATAAGAGAAGGCACACTCCCCTCGTGATTCGTACCAAACCTTCAGAACAACAAGCAGCAGATGATCTGCTGACCGAAGGGCACGGGTGGGAACATACGGGGTCAGCAGGTCCATCAGATAGGATGGGGATGGGCAGTACAAAGCCTTGTAAACTTCATTTCAATTCAATTTTATTTATATAGCGCCAAATCACGACAAGAGTCGTCTCAAGGCACTTCACATAATAAACATTCCAATTCAGGTCAGTTCATTAAGCCAATCAGAAATAATGTTTCCTATATAAGGAACCCAGCAAGTTGCATCAAGTCACTGACTAGTGTCAGTGACTTTACAGAATCAGAATCAGAATGAATTTTATTGCCAGCGCTCAGATCAGATCAGAGCATAGGAACTTGACTCCATAGTACAACCTGACCAAGGTTACACACACACATATAGACAGGACAGATACAGGCAGACCGCGGGAGCAGCCATGACGGCGCTCCTTTGTAGATGAATGAGGGAATACATGAGGAAAGTTCAGGGGAGGGAGAAAAAAGGCATTAACAGGGTTACACCAGCAGGGTGTAGCACTCTAATGCAAAAACCCCCCGACATGTAAGCACAGACGTCACAGTTCACAACACGAGACCCGGTAGGTGGGTGTGTGTCTGTGTGTGTGTGTGTGTGTGGGGGGGGGGGGGGGGGGGATCCTGGTTTCCTCAGCGTTGGCTCCTGTGGTGCTCAACCAGCTGGCTCCGCAGGTGGGAGGGAGGTCATGGGGAAGCACAGAGAGCAGTGAGTCCTTTAGCTCAACGACCTCGGTAGAGACCACAATGTGAAGGCGGGGGGGGGGGGGGGGTAGAGTTTCACAGCATTTGTCTGCATTCCTTCCATCGTGGGGTTTTTTGCACGCAACTCCAAGGCTGCTTATGGCGTCAGATTCGATAACAGAACTTTGTTTGGGTCAGGCAGAGATAATTTTTCCTCTCTGCCTTAAAGTCTGTATTGATCATTCAAGTCCTCCAGTGAAGCCAATTAGGTGATAAAACATCTCCACACCGTCCGGTGACCCTTTCCGAGATGTTATCAATCCTGCGCGCTAACACCGGTAACGCAGCTAAGACATTGTCCAGCTTGCGATTCACCTCGAGCAACGTCCCAGTCTGTGAGGTATCCACACGGACGGTGCCGTCCATGGTTGCGGGTCGCCCTCCAATCGCTCCCATCATCCCAATTTTACGGAAAGCCAGATATCCTCCCACTCCAATCAGAAGAAATCCGCAATCAGCAATCCTCATACTAAGCAAGCATAAAGCAACAGTGGAGAGGAAAACTCCCTTTTAACAGGAAGAAACCTCCAGAGAATCCTGGCTCAGTATAAGCAGCCATCCTCCACGACTCACTGGGGATGGAGAAGACAGACAGAAGACACACGCACACACACACACACACACACACACACACACACACACACACACACACACACACACACACACACACACACACACACACACACACACACACACACACCAAGTAATGTGTCTATAGTTATATTGTGATTTCTTCGTAAATATTCTATTTGGCAAGAGATAAACTTTATTGTATTTATCCTTATGGATCTATAATTAAACGGATAAACTAGCAGTAGCACATCCAACGTCAAGGAAAGCAAAAAGTTATTATAAGGAGAGAACTTAAACATATAACAAGACCTTGAAGTTAATCCTAAATTTGACTGGGAGCCAGTGTAAATCTGCGAGGATGGGTGTGATGTGCATGCGTCTGTCGGTGTTGGTTAAAAATCTGGCCGCGGCATTTTGAACCTTCTGCAGTTTGCTTAGGGCTGAAGCATTAATCCCAATCAGGACAGAATTTGCGTAATCCAGACGTGAAATAATAAAAGCATGAATGACTGACTCAAGATCCGGGCGTTTGAGGATTGACTTAAGACGAGTGATGCGGCGGAGTTGGAAAAGCAGGACTTGACAGTAGCATTGACTTGTGAAGACATTGAAAGGTCAGAGTCCAGTTTCACACCTAGGCTAGTGGTACATGATTTGAGACTGAGTGGGAGAGTTGAGACATCTAAAGCACCATTCATGTTAGTGGGGCTAAAAAGTATGGCATCTGATTTGTTGTCATTTAACCGTAGGCAGTTTTGAGAAAGCCAGGATCTGACCTGGAAAAGGCATTCTGACATTATAGAAAAGGAGTGCTGTTGGTTGATTTGAAGGGAGATCTGGCAATCATCTGCATAAAAGTGGTAGTTAACCCCGAGACTTACTAAAATCTTACCAAGTGGTAGCATGTAAATTGAAAAGAGAGGACCCAGGATGGAGCCCTGCGGTACTCCCCATGGAAGTGGGACATTGGGAGAAGAGCAGTCTCCAACATGAACACTAAAACAACAACCATTAAGGTATGACTTAAACCATTCGAGGGCAGTACCTGTCACACCCACCCAAAATTCAAGTCTGTGAAGTAGGATGGTGTTGTCTACAGTGTCGAATGCTGCGGTCAGGTCGAGTAAGAGTAACAGCACATGGGAGCCAGAGTCAGTTAGAATCAGGATGTCATTGAGTACCCTAATGTGTGCAGATTCTGTACTGTAATTACGTCTAAAGCCTGACTGGAATGGGTCAAGAAGCCCATTGTCATCTAGGTGAGAAGTAAGCTGCGTGAGAGCCAGTTTGTCAATTACTTTTGAGATGAATGGAAGTTTTGAGATTGGGCGATAACTGGCACAGTCAGACTGGTCAAGGCCTGGTTTATTTAATAGCGGCTGAACAACTGCATTTTTAAAACCAGCTGGAAACACACCAGAGGAGAAGCTGGAATTGACAATGTCCAAAACAGCAGGGGGCACCGCTGGAAGGACATCACGCAGCAGTCTTGGAGGAAGGCTGTCTTCTGGAGAGCCTGAGGGCTTCATAGTCAAGATTAGATCAACCAGGGAAGAGTGTGTCACATGAGCAAAGCAAGAGAATGAGGGTGGACAGTGAGGTTCCACACAGGTAACCCAGCCTGAGTAAGAGAAACTGGTTCTAATTTCCTGGATTTTATGCAGGAAAAAGTTTTGAAACTCATTGCAAAGAGCCCCTGTAGAGGGAGAAGAGTTGGGAGATTCTCTAAGGGATAGTACAGAGGTGAGGACACTGTACAGTTTCTTCTGGTCATTTTTATGCCTAGTGATTATATT